CCCCCTCCCCCAGCTTCCCCTTTGAGTTTTTCTTCTTATTAAATTAAGGGATACACAACATTAGCTAAAACGAAATGCATTCCTGGACAAATCCTGCTTCCTGCACCAAATGGAAAAAATTGGTAATGATTTCCATTGAAATCCACAGAACTGTTTTCAAATCTTTCTGGCACAAAATTTTCAGGGTCATCCCAACTTTCGGGTTCTCTCACAATGGCCCATCCATTAACTATCACTTTGGGTTTAAAAGGAATAGTGTATCCATCAATTTCTGCTTCTCCCAGCATTCCCTAAGTCCTAAAAGAGGAGATGCAGGGTGTAACCGTAGTGTTTCGTTAATCACTAACTTTGGATACTGCAACTCGTCGAGATCATTGTCATCCAAATCTTTCTTTCCTCTACAAACCCATCGCACTTCTGCCTGGGATTTGGCCATAATATTTGGGTTCTTCATCAGTTCAGACAATGCCCATTGAATTGTTGTTGATGAGGTTTCAGTTCCCCCTAAGAACATGTCCTACATCATTGAAGTTTAACTATTAATTTACCAAATGATGGGACTAACTCAAACCAGCACTTTGGATATGTATTAAGTTAAGAAATATACATCCCGTTTTATGTAATATTATGCCATATATGGAGTTTAAGAAACAAAAGAAAGACCTTGACACACGAGATGGGTATATCTAAAGTACCAACAAATTGTCCTCACTACCAAAAGAAAAGGAAACATACTCTTTGGTTTCACGAGAGAGAGAGAGAGAGAGAGAGAGAGAGAGAGAAGAGAAAACCATCTTCATGAGATGGAACAAAACTTACAAGAATGACTGCTTTGAGGTTGTCATTTGTCATTGGAAAATGAAGATCATCACTCTCCATAACTCTGAGTAAAACATCAATCAGATCTTCACCCCCAAACTCACTGTTGCCCTTTTTCCCATTTGCTAGATTCGCTTTATGTTCATCAATAATTTTCTCCAATATTACATCAATCTTTTGATGCATATTCATCAATCTATTTCTCATTCCACAAATTTTGTGAAGTCATATCCAAGGAGGAAAGAAATCTGCCACATCAAACCCAACTAACAAGAGTAATACTTCCCTCATCATCATTAGCAAATCATCATCTCGATCTTCCCATACTTTTCCAAAAGCTGATCTACAAATCACGGAGCAGGTAAGCTGAAGAGCCTTTCCAGTCATGTTAATCACAGTATTTGGCCTGGAACGAATTGCTGTAACAAGATTATGAACCTCGTCCTGTTGAATTAAACTAAATGACTTAACCATCTTTGAACCGAGGAGCTCTGACATGCACATTTTACGCATATGTTTCCAGTAATCCCCATATTCTGCAAATACAATGTCCTTTTGATTGTAAAATACTATATCAGATGGCATAAGCTTAGGCCTAGATGCAAAGGAAAGATCATGAACTTTTAGAACTTGTTTTTCCAAGCGAGACAATGATACTACAACTGCATGAACTTCCCCTAGCTGCAAGTACATCAGGGGACCAAATTTTCTGGTTTAATTTCTAACAGCATGATGTGGAAGTGCTCCAATTAAGTGATACAAGCTTCCAATAAGGGGCAATTTCCATGGACCTGGTGGCAATCTTTTGTTACCCCTAATTATCATTTTTTTTTTCATATCCTAACGAAAATAAAGAGGAAAAAGAAAAGCAAGAATGAAATTAAGTTGAAATGAATCTCCATATTATCACAGAAAGGAAGAGAAGGAAAGTTTTAATGGATTTTCTTAGTTAGATAGCAATCAGCAACTGATAAAGTTGAAGGGAGCCTTGCGTAACTGGTAAAGTTGCTGTCATGTGAGCATGAGGTCACGGGTTCAAGCCGTGGAAACAGCCTCTTGCAGAAATGCAGGGTAAAATTGCGTACAATAGACCCTTGTGGTCTGGCCCTTCCCCGAACCTCGCGCATAGCGGAAGCTTAGTGCACCGGACTGCTTTTTTTTTTTTTTAATAGCAACTGATTTATAATGGCTTAATTTCATTTGATGAAAATGTTGGTTTCAGTATGAACAGAGAAATAATGAAAAGAGATGGTAGTTGGTAATCCCACATTATGCAACAAAGAGATTTATAAATTAACCGTCATTATTACCCATATCTTTTATCAATATATTTTGGCGATTAGAATAAACAAATGAGGAGATTATCGCACGGATTTGGTGTCACAATCACAAAACAGTTACCTAAATAAATGAATTTGAGAATATGTGTTTACCTCGAAAATACGAGGAACAATTAAACTTGATTTGTCGTTTTAAAGATATGTGATTCAGTTCAACACCAATTAATAATTAAGAAACATGAAGTAGAAATGAAAGAAACAAGTGAATCAAACCAATATTACTCAGCAGTAGTAATCTCGAGCTCAGTGACCTCGAGATGGATCAAGAGCAATAAGGTAAGAACAATAATTGTGAAGGACAATTCGGATGAACAGTAGACAAAAAGTAGAGAGTATATTCTTTTTCTCAATGATTAGATGATCTTATAAATGATTGAGGTTCCCTTTATATAATGATAGAGGAACCCTAAATAAGGAATATTTCTATTTACAGTAAGGAATATTCTTGATACAGCTGTCTAACCGCCTAGTACGGAATCGTGCAATCCTATTACGAGATTTACGCCATGATATAGGGGATGTGGCAGGAATCTAGATTATTATGTTATAAATCCATAACGGTACAATTTCGGGGTCGAGCACACTTGGCTTCAACATTCCTCACACTCCTATCTTCGGGCATAGCATTTCGTCCTCGAGCTCGAGTCTATCCTGTCGACCTCAAACTCGAGCTTACTTGAATTTATGCCTAAGGCGATCCCTCGAGCCTGTAGAACGAAAGCGTACGATCTCGACCGTACAATATGCTTGTTTTTGTGTGTACCTATATTGATGTATATTGAAATTACTGTGCTGGAGTTCCAAATTGCTCTTTATGTGAAACTTCAGCCTAGCATTATGAAGTTTCCAAAATTTAACCTTTTCTCACATTTTAAACATCAGCTAACCAGTGGCAATTCAAATCTCACTGCAAAATGCACCAAAAAAAAATTCCTCTTAGTTAGGGTTCATCTCCACCAGCGGCACTTCACAATCTGCAGCAAACCTGTATTAGGCGTTGTAAATGTCACGACCCGGAATCTCACCCTCGGGATCATGATGATGCCTAACATTTCACTTGTTAGGTAAGCCTACGTTAGCTAGATTATTTAATCAATTTTACCAAATCAAAATAAAACATAAATGAAGATGAACTGAAGTGGAATAAATAAATACATATGACGATATTCAAACATCGCCCGGAATCCGGAGTCACGAAAATACGAGCAACTAGAGTACTACATATATAGTTTGAAACAAAGTACAACTGTTTGAGACTAGGTAAACAGTAAAATGGAGAAAGAAGAGGACTTCAGGGCTGCGGACGCTGTGTAGCTAAACCTCAAGTCTCTGAATATCGCTGGATCCGAGCAAAACACCACTAAATGCCATTGGGACCAACACCAGTATCTACACTTCTATCTGCACAAAAAGTGCAGATGTGTAGCATGAGTACAACCGGCCCAATGTACTCTATAAGTGTCGAGCCTAATGATGAGTTTTCAATGTCTTAGCCTTATGTTTTGACGATCTAACAAACTTACGGTCAAGAACCAGATAGGGAACCCGACACGCTTGGTATACATTGCTAATCAATGGACTCCAGCTAAATGTGAACTGCTACAGCTTCAGGAGATAGAGAACCAAAACAAGGACCTGATACCTTTGTGATTCCTTGAACGAAGTCAATTGTGTACAGCTAAAAAGTGACGTGACTACCTGCACTGTTTCTGCCTGCACTGCATTGTTCCCGCAGTCACTTGTCCTTTGACCAACCATGTGATTACATCATTTAAGTGATGTCGTACACGTTGTATTAACAAGAGTATTACAACAAAACATCACTTGAACACTTGAGAATTCACTCCAAGCATTCAAGCCATCTGATATTCCAGCATTCAATTCTCAAGTGCATCAAGAACAAAGTTTAACACTACTACGGACCAGTTCCTAGATCCAGTATTTTGTTGTCCTTAGTTGAGTTGTAACTTTGTAATTGTTCTTCATTGTAATTCCTAATTTGCTTATCTAGAAGCATTGCTTAGGTGCCCTCTTGTAAAATCATAAACCCTTAGTGTTTGTGTTGTGACTGGAGTTAGTCATGAGTTGAAGTCTTTATAATAGGTGTATTGCAAAGTGGTTTGTAATAGGTGTATTACAAGTTAGTGAGGGATTAAGAGTTTAATTCCTAGGTTACAATAGGTTGTAATCTAAAGACTTCTCAGTTGTGAAGTTGAAATCCTACCAGTGTAGGTCGTGGTTTTTTATCCCCTTTAGCAGAGATTTTTCCACGTAAAACTCCCTGTCTTATTTACTTACTGTTTCATTAACATTCTCACAGGGAAATCATAAGAGGACATGGTCTCTCTATAATTTGGTGGACTCACATAAACTATCAATTGGTATTAGAGCGGGTTCCTCCTATCAGGCTAACAACTAGGAAGGATCTGTATGGCTGCTCCACAAAATTTTGAAGAAGGTCAATCTACGTACGGACCAC